CGTGGCAGACCTCTCCTGACCCACCCGCTGCTCCCCTCAGCAGTGCACTTCATAGATCTGCCTGTTCTGCTCCCCACTCTGTCTCTGGTGAAACCTCTTGCCGCCCCTGAGCCTCTGGCCTGTACCCCAGTTGTGTATGCACAAATAAATCTTTAAAAAAAAAAATGTTTAGCAAGACAAACATGTCACAAGGTTCATCAGATGGTCAGGTGCAATGACACTTAATGGACTTCCGTCAGGTGTGGACTGCGACAAACACCATGGCTGGGCAAACGTAGTTAATGGTTAAGAAGAATGGCAATGGAGGAGGTGACAGACAAACACTATCAATTTTAATATTGTTGGTACTGAGAAAAAATATGTGCAAAGGATATTACTTGAGCACAGGAGGACACATCACCAGACTATGAATGGTTTTAAGGAGGTCATAACCACTGAGCTGACTCTTCCCTTAGTGAAACAGAGAAAGTGGAAAGGGCCTTCAAATCAGAGTGTACTGTAAGCAATGAAGCTGAGCTAGAAAAGAGCACGACATGTGCAGGAAACCACAGCTAAGATGCAAGGTGAGTACTAGGAAATAAGATTGGGACTCGGGATGGCCGCCTGGAAGGTGGTCTGTCTTAGGTTCATTCTGGCCATACCCTGTAGGTGAACAGGAGCCATGGCTGGAATTATGCAGAAGTTGCATGTTTAGTTCTGTGTTTTTAGACTGAACCCTCCAGTGGCAAACTAAAAGATGTATTCAAGAGGAAAAGTATAGAAAATGGATCAGGTCCGCACTGCAGCAATGATGGAGAGAATCCTGACTGGTGGATGAGACTCAGCAACACTCAGGAGGCAGGACTGGTTAAGCCTTCATTAACAGTGGTAAAGAGTGAGAAGAAAATATGTAAGATGACTCCCAGATTTCTGAAAATATGCTCAAAGGGGTAGAGGAAGGTATTTTATATATTGAGGGCTTATGACTAATAGCATCCAATTTCTTTAACGTGAAATGTTTTCTAATAGAACTGTTCACACCTAACTTCCTTGGCACCACTTAATATGAACTATCTACTCCAAAGTACATGTGTTAAGACATCTAAGATTTTGGTAGCAAGCCCCTTTGCTCTAGAGATTGTTGGCTACTACTCATTACTACTAATCTCCTACTCACGTTCTGATGTTTCTTTAACATTAGTTTATGATAATCACAAACATTAGTTGTGATAATCTATTAGTACCTATTAACCTTACTATTACATAATCTTTCACTGAAACATGTTTGTGCTTATTTTATAATTTTAATGCAATGACCCAGAATTTCAAGAATGTAAAATAATGAAGTTGCAGATATCTTTGCCTTGTTCCTAAAAGTACAGAATTAGCAATATTGTATCACTAAATATAAAATTGTCTATTAGTCTAACATGTTTATATAGTACCCATTCATTCCAACATTAATGCCCATTTTTTTAAACAGCTTTTTATAAAAAAGATTACCATTTAACTGTAACAGAGAAATTAGGTCATTCATGCTGACCACATTAAAACATCCATCTTTTACACCAAATATTCCATTTTCTATTTACATTGTAACAAAGTTTATAAAATGTAAACTATTCATAAATTCTATCATAGGCCATGATACAAAAGCTAAGAACCACAATAAAAAGAAAACACTTTTCCAGGAGATACTGACTATACCTGGTATATTTTGAATACTTTGAAATTTAAATTTGAAATTATCAGAGTTAAATATGTTTAAATAAGGATTAAGAATCAGCCCCTGGGCCCTCCCTGGTGGCTCAGCGGGTTAAAGCACAGCACTGAGAAGCTTAAGCCACTTCCGCATGAGTTCGATCCCCGCCTGCCCCGGAGGTGACCACATGGCGTGGCAGACCTCTCCTGACCTGCCCGCTGCTCCCCTCAGATGTACTTCGTCCATCTGCCTTTTCTGTTCCCAGCTGTGTCTCTGGTGAATCCTCTCACCCACCGCCTCTCTGGCCTGTACCCCAGTTCTGTATGAGTAAATAATTAAATCTTTAAAAAAAAAAAAAGAATCAGCCCCTAAGAAAGCAGCAGTCTTACCTGTAACGAACATGAAAAGAATGGTCTTCCCTCATGCTTATCAAATTTTCCTCCATGGAGTCATATTATAAAGTTGAGTAAAATATGAAATTATTTTATTTTGTACCAATCCAGTTCTTTACAATGTAGAATTGTTTGCAGAACATTGTCCAGTTAGTATATTAATAAGTTGGTGTTAATACATCCTAAGCTCCTGCTTCTTCTTTATTAATAATGAAAGGAGGTCAATGTCAGACAGCTTAAAGGTTCAAAATGTGTCTCAAATCCTTGCATCTGTGGCCCTTTCAGCAGCACTTCAGCAACATTTCTGCAAAAGGAATACAAGATGCTTTGCTTGAAGAGCTATTTGCAAAGAATTACCTAAAGTAATCCCAAATTGCACATAATCCCACAGCTAACTCCCCAGACTATTGTGTAATCATGGGAGAAATACAGAGGCTTAACTGTCACCAGGAAGCGTCTAAGTAAGCATCTGAATGTGAGGTTTATTTGAGAGCTACACTTTAGTATGTGTTATGTGCAAATTAATAGATACAATTATAAAGTTCTGGAATCTCAGTGCTATAAACCCAACTTTCCACCAGGGCATCCCCAGAATGGTCACGAAGGAAGCTAAGTCTATTAGGAAGTTGTTTCACACTTTCCATTTCTACCTATTTGTCCTACTTCTTCCTTTTGATGCCATCCAGTAGAGACTAATCCTTTTTCATGCTACATGCTTTTAAATATTTCAACTGGTAACTACTCTAAACACACTTCCACTGCCTAGTTAAGTAGTTAGATTTAATTAGGGTTAGATTTAATTAGGGAACAGAAAAATCAGGACCCACCAATCAGACTTGAAACACTGACAAGTTACCCAGAGGAAAAGAGACTTTCATATTAATAACCAGCTTAGACCTAGGAATTGCAAAATATTATTCCTCTTATCTCCATCCCCCTCTTGGTTGACAAAGGAAGCAGTATTTTAAGAAAAGATGAGGGAGGAAGAGCTATTAAGCTGACAAATTTCTTTGCTTTTGATTGGAATTCCATTGGGTCTCTCTTTTCCTTAGTAAAAAGGCTTTTCAAAGGAAATTATGTGGTTACTCATAGCTCCAGCTCCAAAGTGCATTATTACATAACAGCTAAACTGTCAACCAATCTGTCATTCACTACCATTTGGGGTTTAAGTTGTTATGTATACAACAGTCCAGAAGGTATGCTATTAGAATTCATTTAACTTACACTTAAATTATAATTAAATGAAATTATCTCTCATCCATGAGATCATATAGAAATTCTATTAACCAATCACTTGAACATTTGCTGACTTCATATGTATATGCAGGCAAATTAAATGTATATAAATGAAATTGCAAAATCCTTTACGATTGTATAGAAAACCATTTTAAAAATAATTAAAACAGACAAGACAGAATGCTATTCATCATTATCATAAAGATAATTTATAAGGCTTGACCATTCTGGAAAGCAGAACATCCCCCCTTCAAAAGGCAACTCTTACACTACAATCTCCATAACAATTAAATAGCACTTGAAAGTATTATTCACTGAACAAACAAGTAATTCTCGATTCATCCACATCTGTAAGAACTCTAATTTAGTGACAGTGTGTTCAGTCTCCATATTATATGTAGTTAACAAACCCACTGCACACTTAATAGTTTATGTATTACCAGTAGAGGACTAATAAAATTTGCAACAAATATTAAATTGTGAATTATTCATTAGCTCAGGAAATGGAATAGGATTATAGGTTTGAAAGCCTAGTCAGAAGTTATCAAGTTTAACCTCAATCTCCATAAAACTAGTAATTTGCAAGAACACTTATGTCCTTAATAACATGTCCTTATGTCCTTAAAAACATCACCCAAGTTTTAACAGTGTTCCCAAAAACCTCACTGCTAAGGAAACTGTTAACTCACCGTATCTTTTGGTTTGACCAGAGAAAGAAATAAAGAGAAAACAGTAATTTTTTTCCATAACCAAAAAACTGACAGCATATAAAAAGATCAGTCAGGTACAGAACTCTGATTGCCTCATGTTTAATAACCTGATTAGGAAGTCAGAATAGAGAGGCTCCTGTTATATAGGTAGGTGGACTTCTAGGGACTTGCCAAGGCCTGCGATCAGAATAAAGAAGAAATCCTGGCCTTGCTTCACCAAAGTATTTGCAAACTAAGCAATAAGGAAAAATGGGTGATAGGCATACATATCTTTTGTCCTTCTTTTCATCTATCTACTTCTAACTCTAAGTTAAGAGCTAATAACTTCTGGTCTGTTTCTTCTATCCAGGTATCTCTAAAGCTGGTATCTCATCACACAATAAATGTAACTTACTTTTTTGTTTCCGTATTTACCTGAATTCTTAAACTTCTTTTCATGATTTCTTCTAAGCTACAATACCCAAATTTTAATAGCGATGTTCCAGGTCAGACAGCAGCTCTTTATCATTAGGAGCTGGATAAATATTAAAGAAGAATCAACTTTAAAATAAAGTTCATTTATGTAATAAATATTACACCATGTTAATAACAGTAAAAATTCTAGGTAAACTGCCTATTTTCTGACAATTATATATCTGTATGTAGACATCAATATTTAGATAAACTAAATAAGGTCTGTCACTCAATTCAAATTCTTATTTTTAATTACATTTTACCTGAATGATATATAGTAGAAACAAGATGGCAGGTAATAAACAGTACATACAATATCAAGAGTAAGAGGCAGGAAGTGAACACAAAGGATTATGCCAGGAATTGTAAGAAAGGTAAAAGGTGTACTAAACAAAGATCAATTGAAAATTCAGAGCTTGTGGGATGTTAGTGTGGCAAATGTTGACGAACCAATTAAAACAAGAAAAGTTTTTATAAGGATCTATTTAGCTGATGTGGAAAATTGGTGCCTAAGCAAAGGAAGTCAGACTCAAAAAATGGCTGGGTACTTCATCAAGTAACCTGGCCTAAGAGCACCTAGAGGAAAATGAAAATGCCCACTGACTAGATACACAAGAGAGGCAAAGGTCAAGCAGAGAACTTACAAGATTCTCACTTTGAGAATAGGTGAAAAAGTAGCAACACCCATAGTGGTTGACAAATTAAAACTGTAATGGTGACTGATACTTAGGAGAGGGAGACAAAAAGGAATACATAGACAATCTTGTACTTGGTAAAGTGCATATTCATAAATCTAATAACTAAAATGAAAAGATAACAAGTTGATCACCTGAGATAAACTATGATTGGGCCCCCCTTAGCCCCTTAGCACAGGGGCTAAGTCTCAGAAGTATCAAGTTATTGCCAGCCACTGCTGCCTGCATTCAATCCCTAGCCAGAGCTGACCCACATGGTGCCGCAGACCTCTTCAGTCTCGCTAATTGCTCCACCCAGTAGCATATTTCAGTAGTTTCACCTGTTCTGTTCCCCACTGATCAGAACAGTGAATCATCTCACCACCTCCCACCTGTGGTCTATACCACAGTTCTAATATGCATAAATAAATATTTTTAAATATAATAAAATTTGATAAATGGGGAGTGACTGATAATTCCAAATTTTGCATATTTTTTAAACTGAAAAAACTTTAAAGTAGTACAAAAATCTAATTTTTAACACTGTAATAAGTCAATGAAAAAATTAAATGAGGAACTCTAATAGGAGAAACAAATCAATATGTAAGTTTTTATTCTTTTCATTCCACAAATTCAATTTCCATACACCAGTAACATAAACTGTTCCTAGTACTGTGAACTACAGATAACTCAAGACTGTGTGTGTGTGTGTCTAGCCACATCTGCCTATAGTGTTGCACTAGTTTTAGTGTTAACTGATAACTGTCCTACTTATCCAATGTAGATTACAAATCCCAAATTAATAAACATTCATAGTGACTAGTTAAGCAGATCATTCTATTTTTAATAAATGTGGAAAATGTGTTATGGCTCACATGTATGTCAATTACACTTCAAAATTACTATAGGCCTATTACTATATTAAGCAAATACATAATCTTAATACACTCCAGTTAAGGATAAATCTGTATATATTACTAATCTTTCAGATTGCAACAATCATTGTTAGTCTATACAATATCAGGACAAATTAGTAGAAAATAGTGCAACAATGTAACTGCTATCTAAATACACATAAAAACTTTCTAATAAACTGTTACTATGATAAACAACTAAATAAAGAGAATAAGTTCAAAAAATAGAACTAGAGTATTATGGATTCCAAATCTACATCTTAAAGACATTCAGCAGTCAGAAGAGTTAGCAAATATATTTGAAATTAAATCTCATGGGCCATATGAAAGATAGATACATGCAAAATAAAGGTACTATTAATTTTCAATTCACTTTTATTTTTGGTATATTTAAAATAGTCAGGACCAGAAGTATGGGTCTGATTAAAAATACAAAACAGGTGGCAGACTGTGTGAAGGGAGTCAACAGGTACAAACTAATTCAGAGAGATATAACATAGAGCATGGTGTCAGTCGTTACTGCTACTGTATTGCACATTTCAAAGTTGCCAAGAGCTCTAAAAAGGGAAAAAACTTGTATAGTGAGAGATTTTAATGGATATCTTATGATTATTTCATAACATATACAAATATATCATGATGTTCACCTGAAGTTAATGTGTTATATGTCAATTACACCCCAAAAAGGAGATAAAACAATGAATACAACCAATTCATAGTATAAGAATTTTAGTAATACTAGAATTTCTTTAATGCTTTTTAATATTTACACCTAAAAAGTTTACCACTCTAAACAATATTTGATCCATCCAGCCAGCCTATAAAACTAGTAAGAACCCCAATGAATTATGCTTCCTAATCAAAATATTAAAGCCAGACAAACTTAAAATTAGATAAATACTAAAACAAAATGTAATCTAAACAAAGGGGATTTGAGTATTTCAAGTTTCATTTTAGCACTGTTGTTAAATACTAATATTTTTCTGGGATGATAAACTAGAAACTTAAGTTATACATAGAATCAACTTGAATTATGCCAATGACTAATTATTAAAACTGGTTTTGTAATCTAAGAAATTTAAGAAGGACCAAGGCTAAGGGACTCTGAATAGTTACTTGACAGAAGCCCACAGCCAACCGTGGATTTACATGCTCTTTCAACAACGGCAGAATGCAGTTAGATATGTATGAGGAAGATAAGCTGGCAGCAACTTCTATGGCAGGACAGGGAGACAGAAAAAAAAGACACTGTAAAAATCCCAGAAGCAACTATTAAACAGAAAGCCTTGTCATATCTCAACACGAAGGAAGTTCCTT